CAATTATATTCCTTTCATTTGTTTGCTCTCCCCTTACCCACATTGAAGGCTGTGATTGTTTTTGTTTTTCTTAATTTTTTTGCACACTACCTATACCAATTAACTGCCTAATTAGTTTTATCTGCGCTACATGGATGCAGTGAATTTGTAAGAGAATTTCACAAGCAAGTAGTTTTTTAGTGAGTTTAAAGTAAATAGAGTTTTAAAGACCTATTTTTATATTCAATATAAAGCACAAATGTGCAGAAAATGTAGAAAGACTTACAAAAAGGGAAACAAAAGTTCATAATATTTCATGTATAAAAGTAATACCTTCTTTGGGTTGAGATTCTCTTAGAAAACCCAATACTTATGCCAGTGCAAAGATAGGAATATTTTAAAAAGTCTTAGAAAATTGTGATTGACAGCAATTTCAAAGGAATGACTTCTGTAGATACAAGGAAACCCCTAAAGCAATATGGATAAGAAGGGGTGAATGGTTTTCAATGATGGACAACCTGGAAGCGTGAGAATGGAGGTTTCAATCCTTATTAATTAATCAAGCTTCTTCTTCTGTGGTTAGTTACAACATCTAGATTTTCTGTGAAGTGAATTGTTGAAGGATGAAAAACCATAAAGGAGACAACTTGCATATATTGAGAGAGAGAAAAAAAAAGTTTGGCTTAAAATTGTAATTTATTAATTGTGGTGTTAAATTTTGTTAGCTCCCACTTCTAAGAAAATCCAGATAGTGATTTACTGCTTGAAGAAATTTGATCAAATAATAATGATTAATCCAGGAACTCCCATTGTCACAATTTGTTTTTATTTCCATCGTCCTGCTTATCTCCAAAACCAACTTGCCTCAACTCCTGGCTAAACCAGGGAGAAGAGTTATATGCCATTGTTAGTTAGTTCATTTACCACTTGTATCTGTTTTTTGCTCTTGTATATATGTTGGCGTTTTGGAGTCTTTACATAAATGCTGTGATACTTTTTTTTTTCTTTTTTCTTTTTTTTTTTTCCTTTTCTTTTTCTCTTTTGGTGGGCTGTTTTAAAATGGAGGCCTATTTTCCAGTGTGGGACTTTTGATGGTTACAACATTTCAGTGATGTTGCATGATGGCCACTGGTGGGGGAAATTGAATGTTTTAGAGCAGTTTTTCAAGCATGACACTTTTAAAATACGTAATTTCAAAGACTTTTGAAGGCCACATGAAATTAGTTTTCATAGCCACTCCAGGTCTTGGGGGGAAAAGCTGAAAAGTACTTTTGTTTAGAAGTCTGAGTGATGGTGGGGGGGAAACCTTTTCTTGAGGTTTTTGCATGCCAGTGTACAGCCTATTGCTGTGAGGGAAGGAAGATGGTAAGGCTGCTTGAGGCAATGCACTGGAGGACAAAGTGTTTTCTAGCACTAGAAAAGAAAATGCATGGCAAAGTTTTGTCTTCTAGTAGACTATATAGCATGCAGAGTTTAGTATGTGTCAAAACAGTGTATGACATTGCTGTATCAAAGTTGTAAAATTAAGCATTATTTATTGAAAACTATGTATTTTTTTTGTAAAAACCTGATCACCTAGAGGATTAATATCAGTGACTTGTGCTAGTGCTACAAACTTAACCAGCTTCTTTACTACAGTACTTGATATGCAGTGTTAATGCTCAGGGTTGAAACCAGTCCACTCCAATGTCTTTTTTTGCAAGAGTTTTTAAATAAAGGAACAACATAATGCAATTGTTCAAAAGACTCTAATAAAATTGTGTGATCAATCTTCCTATGTGTTTTTATGTGAATTTTTTTTTCCAATGTTGTATTCGCTAAATGCAACTCAGCTACTGTAGTGAATCCGTTCTTCATTCTGTGGGCACGCAAAACTTCTAGTCAATGGGAATGTTATATCTTTGGAAAAACAC